AAGCCCAAGTCCAGCCTATCCTTGACTTGAGCGGCAGAAGGAAAAGAAGGAATACTTTGTGATGGTCAGGGTACCACTGAGTAATTCTTTCTAAGAAAAGGCTAAGACCTTTTTTGTTGTTGTCGAGATATAAAATGATACACTTCTAATTGGGTGACTTGAGGTGAATTATACCAACTAGTGAGGTTTAATTCACCCTCCTCTGCACAGTCGCTGTGTAAAGACACACAGAAGTATGGATTTACACCTGGGAGCTTACAGTAGCTACTGACATTGACCTCTGCAAAGTTAGAAAGCATCTAATATACATAAAACATTTGCATTAGTTTCCTATTGCTTCTATGAAAAGTCACTACAATTGGTGGCTTGTAACAACACAGATTTATTATCTGCCAGTTCTGGAGATCAGAAGACTGAATTCGGTTGCACTGGGCTAATGTCAAGGTGTTGACAGGCTTGCGTGCTTTCTGGAGGCTAAAGGGAGAACGTCTCCTTGCCTTTTCCAGATTGCAGAGTTTGCCTGCATTTCTTGGCTCATGGCCACTGTCTTTCGTCTTCAATGTCCCATCTCCTCTGATTCTGCTCTCATCATCACAGTTCTTCCCTTCGCCCTAACCCTTCCGCCTTCCTCTTCTAAGGACCCTTGTGATTATATCAGGCCCTCCCAGATAATCCAGAATAATCTCCCCATCTCAGGACTCTTCAATTAATCTCACGTGCAAAGTCCCGTTTGCCACATAAGGCAACACTCACAGGTTCCCCGGGATTAGGATGGGGACATCTTTGGGGCTCACCATTTAGCCTACCACGACACAGGGGGCTTTAAGGGGACCATGTCTTCACAGCCTCAATTTCAAGATCCCATAACAGTGCCACAGTCTCCTCTTCTATCCCATCTCCATCAAACCTCCAAGTGCATCCTTTCTGGCCAGTCCTGTCCTTCCCCTCGCCTCTGCCTGTGCTAGTGAACGCCCTTGTATCCTGTTCACTCTTCAGACGCCTAGCCACCCTTCAAGGCCAGTCTTCCGTGCTCTCTTCTCCTTTCAGCATTTCTAATTTCCCCAGATGCGCTGGCACACTTTGTGTGCAGGTGGCAGAAACCCAGCTCAAACTCCCTTAAGCAAGATCTGGAGACTTGATGGACTCAAGGACGTGAACTGTGTAAGGGGCAAGGCCTAGAAACAGCTAGGATCCGTGTCCTAGTCTGCCCAAGCTGCTATAACCAAACCCCACAGGCTGGGTGGCTTAAACAACAAACATGTGTTTCTCAATGTTCCAGAGGCTCGGAAGTCCAAGATCAAGGTGCCAGGAGATTTGATTTCCAGAGAGAGCCTACTTATTATTATTTGTTTTTAATCCTCACCGGAGGATATTTTTTCATTTTTGTTCAGATAAAGTGGGAGGGAGAGAGAGAGAAACATGGACGCAAGAGGGACACATCCACTGGTTGCCTCCCGCATGACCCTGACCAGGGCCGGGACAAACTGCAGCCAAGGTTCATGCCCTTGACCAAAATCGAACCCGTGACTCATTATTCTACAGGCTGATGCTCTACTGCTGAGCCAAACTGGCAAGGGCAAGAGTTTACTTTTTGGATTAATGTTGGACCATGGACCCTTTCTTGCTATATCAGAGAGAGGGGGCTCTGGTCTCTCTCATCCTGCAAGGACACTCATCCCATCATGGGGTCACTTCCCAAAGACCCCACTTCGAAATACCATCACGTTGGAGATTATGGCTTTAACATATAGGTTTTGGAGGGACACAAACATTTGGTCCATAGCAGTTAGGAACTTGAACACCATCAGGACTGGCTGCCTGTTTTTGCTTCTTTCTATATCCCTACCAAATTCTCTTAGGCTGTCTTCTAACTTTGGCAGAAGTGGGCAAGGCCCCGGGTACTTCAGGGTTACAATTTTACGGCTTTAATAAGATTTTGAAAAAAACTTCTAAGAGAAGAACTCTGATTGGCTTAGGTCACATGTCGAACCCCTTAGACAGATCCCTGTGGCCAGATGGTCATGTGTTGAAGCTGTGGAGCAGAAGTGGGGAAATAACTTTTTAAAAGATGAAAGGGGTTAGATAGAATAAATAATACTTGCTGTAGGCACCAATTTGGTGTGAGTTCTTCTCAAACCTCATTCTGTTTTATTTATATTCATCTTAATTTATATCATTCCTGATCACAACATCGTTACTTATCTTCTCGGTTACTTATCCTCTCTGTTTTTCTTTCACAGCATTGATCGTACATTACAGGCTTTGGATCATTACACTGACATATGAATCCTGAAAGGAAGTGCTTCTGTCTTTCTCATTTTCACCCCACCCCTCCCACCGAGCACCCAGAACTGTGCAACACTGATAGCAAATGTGCTACATTGGGTTGAAAATAACACTGTAGAAGAAGTGATATCTGAAGGCAGCTTAAGGTTAATTAAAATAAGGGCTCAAATTTCAGAGATATGAAGTATACTTTAGAGCTTAATAACTTGAGAAAATATCATAGCTTGAGCTGGGACTTAAAAGATGAGTAGAATTTAGATAGAAAAAGACAACAAAGAGCATGGGTTGTTACGGAATGCATACAACCATAAAGGAAACTTGGAGAAACAGATAACTAAATTTTACGCAGAATTGCCTCCTGGTTCTGGGAGGCAGTTCTGTGCCGCTGTTACTCTAAGTCATAAATATTTCATGTTCACATTAATTAGAAATTGTCATTGCGGAATAGCAGTTTTACCATACCTTACAATGATTCATTTAGCCAGTCACTCACTGAATTAGTTATTGGGGGCTTTGCTGTGATTATGTATGCATAGTGAGAGCGGTCACTCATTCTAAGGAGCCGACTCGCGCTTCGAGGAGGGAGGTTAAGAGCTGTGGAGAGAGAGCAAGGAGGAGGAATCGGAGGAAAGCGATGCTACCTTTGACGGTGTAAATTCCATTAGAGCCTCCAACTTTAAGAATTCATAAGAACCTATCAGGGCAAAAGAAGTATCTTGAACCTCTAATGCAGGTGCCTGTTCTCTAGGGAATGTAGTGCCCATTAGGATGAGACTGTGGCCTTTGAATTGAGGACTTCACCCAACGATGCATCTAGCCACGATCTATAGATTTGCAGAAGTTAAAGGCTGTAAATTTGGAATAATAAAAATCCTGGGACCAGAGTCCTGAAATGCCTCTTGGTTTTAATGTAGTCTTTAAAAACACAGATTTTTTAGTCCCTGTCATATGCCAGGAATTAATATTAATTATTATTGCAACATAATTAAAAACAATAATTGATAAAGTTAAAGTGGTTAATAAGTTCTGCCTGCAAGGACTTCATGTCTGATGAGGGAGAGGAACACAGAAATAGAAATAACTGCATACGATGAGAATTCTGAGTGGTGTTATGAGATCACTGTGTGGTTGCCTCCAATTCTTATTTCTCAGATGCTGTCTACTCTTCTTAAAATCTGCTTCTACCCTTACCTGTTCACATGGCTTGTCTTATTTCCTATAGGAGTCCTCTATAGGGAGAAGATAGCTTTGTATTAAAAAATAATAATTTCTTTATACTCCTTCTCCACCCAGAAACGTCTAAACTACCCTTCACCACCTGTGGGAAGAAGTGTGAACTCAAGAGCCTGATTTGCCAAAACTCCCATAATTGGGCAGCATTCTACCAGCTAGCTGATTTCTTTCTGTACCCCACCCTCCCATATTCACGTTTCAGTTTTAAGGTCTGCCTCCTACAGGAAGCTGTCCTGAATGAACTCCTAGGGAGATTATTGCTTAAATAGTGATTTTTAATCAGAGACCTTTTGCATTATTGATTCCATTATCTGACGGCTATGCCTTGCTCCCAAATTCACTGTTAACTATTAAAGATAGAGCTTTATATTCCTATATAGACTCTAAGCACCTCGGACAGTACCTGGTCAGCCAGGCACCCGGTGAATATGCAGCATTGCAATAAATAGCTAGAATGTTGAAATTACAAATATAGATGGACATGTGGTTCTTTTATCCAGTAAGATCATTCATTGGCATTATTAATATCCTATAATTATTAAGAGCTTTTACAAAGGCTACTTAGTAAGATTTAGGGGAAACAGATGTTTGGCCTGAGAAAGTCAGATGTTAAGAAAGTTATTCTAGGAGCCATATGCATGACGGGTTGATACAATGAGGGTGACGGGAAGCAGGTAGTCAGTGCAGATGTAGTAATCAAGCTTAAGAGGCAAGTGAGTGTCTGGGCCAGGATTCTCCCAAACACCTAACTTTGCCCATCAGTATTCACAGTTAAGTGTTGCTCATCTGACAAATAGAAATAAATCATCAGGCTGTATTTCCATTAACTGATGAAAGAAGAGTCCATTTTTAGCCAAATAAGGTCAGTTAGAGTGAATTCCTGATTTGCCAAAGCAGTGACTTTTTAAAAAAAAATTTTTTTTCATCCTCACCCAAGGACATTTTTGTGTTTATCTTCAGATAGAGCAGGAGGAGGAGAGGGAGGAAGAGAGAAACATTGACGTGAGAGGGCCACATCAAGTGGTTGCCACCCATACGACCCCAGCTGGGGCCAGGAACAAACTGCAACCGAAGTACGTGCCCTTAGCAGGAACCGAACCCAGGACTCTCCAGTCCACGGGCTGACACCCTAACTGCTGAGCCAAACCGGCCAGGGCCCAAAGCAGTGACTTTTAAGCCCAGTCTCTGAAGAATTCCCTTGCCATTATGAGATTTATTTTATTAGTATAATGTAGTATATATGTGTATTGATGTTGTTGTAGGAATTAAATATAATGGCTTGTATCTTTGGCTAGAGGAAAGAACACATAATTGTATTACAGTTGCAAATAAGATGTTTTTTAAAGTTAGCAATTCTTATTATCTCTCACATATTCCATAGAAAAGAGAATGTGGCAAATGGGTCAGGGTGGAATGAAAAATAAAATGCAGGTTTGAACATGTTGCTCTCTTTACCTCTGGGAGCAGGCTCTCCCCCGAGGTCATGCACAGCAGCTGCATTTGTCAGATGCTTCTTTGCAGACGCAGCCCTGGGCACAATGGGCACAGCCCACGGAGCAGCAGGAGCAGCAGCTCTTCTTGCAGCTGGTGCATTTGCAGTCTTTGCATTTGCTGGAGGCAGCACAGGTGCAGAATTCACCAGTTTGGCAGGAGCAGTTGGGGGTTCATATCTGTCAGAGGTGAGGCAGAAGGTCCAAAGCTGGTCTAGCTGGGCACACTGGTACCCTGACGCTGCTGGGCTCTGTATGCACCACACCAGCCACACCTTCGTCCCCTGCTCACATGGAGGGATCAGTGTGTATGCCATGTGGTACACGGTATCCACCCTCCAGGCCCAAACCTTCCCAATTTTCAGTTGAAAATGGTGATGCCTGCCCCAGTTTGGTTTGAGTAAGGACATCCAGATTCTTGTCTCCATTCATGCTACTCTCAATAGTTGTTATACGACTAAGTAGAGAGTGTGTGGCATGCAAAACTGATGTCTGGAATAGAAAAGTAGAAAGTGGAAGTTTAATCCACAATCTTATTTCTATCAGTCCTTTTGTAAGCAATGAGATGCATAGGTCTCAAGGGCACAATTTGATGAGTTTTGACAATACGCTCACTTGTGTAACCACACCCAAACGAAGCTATACAACATTTCCATTAACCTATTCCTGTGTTCCCCACCTACATAAACACCCCTCTTCTGATTTCCATCACCGATGATTATTTTCACCTTTGACCTTCATTCAAATGGAATCATACGATAGGTACTCTTTCATCTGGGTTCTGTCACTTAGCACAAGGCTTTGAAGATTTGTCAGTAATTCTTTTGTAAATTCATTATCATTCTCTAGATACACAATCATGTCATCTGGAAATAAAAGATTATATTTCTTCTTCTTTAGGTCTTTATATATTTTATTTCTATTTCTTGCCTATTACAGTAGCTTACTGTATTCCAGAATTAGCTACAGAACACAAGTGATGATAAGGGCAGATATTTTTCCTTGTTCCCAATCTTAAGGAGAAAAGTGTTCAATGTTTCATGATAAAGTATGATGTTAGTGTTTATTTTTTTTGCAGTTGCCCTTTATCAGATTGAGAATGTTCCAGTTTATTTCTAACTTTCTAAGGGCTTTTATTATGAATGGGTTTGAATTTAATCAAAGGCTCTTTTGTATCGTTTGAAATGATCATACACATTTTTCTTTTTAATTCTGTTATTGTGGTGAATTACATTATTTTCAAATGTTATATCAGTCTTTCCTTCCTGGGATAAACCTAACTTGGTCATGATGCATTTCCTTTTTTTATATTGATGAATTTGATTTGCTCATATTTTAAAGACCTTCAGTCTGTGCTCATGAAGGATATTGATCTGTGGTTTTCTTCTGTTTTGAGTATCAGTACTGCTGAGAATTGTTACTACCACCTCCATTTTTAAAAATAGTTTGTGTAAGATTAATATTATTTCTTCATTAAATGATTGACAGAATATACCAATGTACAGTGGGCCAGTGTTTTCTTTGAGGGAACATTTTATAATTCAGTTTTTAAATAGAAACAGATTTTCTCTTTATTCTGGTAGATTGAGGTTTTCAAGGAATTTGTCTATTTCATTGAAGTTACTGGATTTTTTAGCATAAAATGGTGTATAACATTGTGTTGTTACTTTATTAATAACCGTAGGATACCCAGTGGTGACCCTTCTATTCCTGACACTGGTTCTTTGAGTTTTCTCATCCACCACTCCAAATCAGGGGAGCTCCTTTCACCCACAGCAGAGAAGATGCCAGCCCCGGGCCTGGCCCTGGCTCTCCCTGTCCTGGTGGAGCCTGCATGACAGCCTTGCTGGCCAAAAGCCATTGTGAGACACCCACACTTGTTAAGTGACGTTTTTCTTCAAGTACGCGGCTAGACATTGATGAAACATGGTGATATCAGTTGAAACTAGCACTTCAATGAATTCCAAAATGCATTACTGCCTGTATGAGAGTTTTGATCAGCTGAACCTTGGTGAAAACCAGCACTCACTTCCTTGGGCATTTATCAGTGTTGTGCAGCTGATTCAGCCCCTGATTTTATTTTCACATCTGTCCAAACATTAGGACAATGTAAGAGAAACCTGACTGGCGTCATATAGGCATTTACCCCGTTGTACTTGGCTCTTTTGTGTAACATCAAAAAAAAAAGACAGGTCCTGTCCAGTGTTTCTCAGTGGTTAGAGCATTAGCCTGCTGACCAAAGGGTCACGGGTGTGATTCCCTGTCAAGGACAGGTACCTGGGTTGCAGGTTTGATGTCCGTCCCCAGTCGGGGTGCATGCGGGAGTCAACCAATCCTCCCTTCACTCTCTCTAAAAAAAAATAATAATAATCGATAGAAAAAAATATTCTCAGGTGAGGATTAACAACAACAACAACAAAAAAGGAAGACAGAATGCAAAGAAAAATGAAAATAAAAGAGAACTATACATGGTTAATATTAAACCATACTTTTAAGTAGAGAAGATGTAGAATTCACTACTAGACTTTCCTGTGTTTTAGGTGTATTTGTGTCCAGGAGCCTTTATCCATCTGCTTTCCTTTTGAGTTCAGTTCCTTTCGAAGCCAAAGTAAACAGCAAGGGCATGAAAACTTCTGCAGAACATCCTCCTCACCAAACAGAAGCGTTGATTTGCAAACAAGAAGAGTTTTCTTCCACACCTGCAGAAGGAGGAAATTAACAAAATGTTTGCTATTCATTTTCATATCCCATCGTGAAACCTCCAGAAATAAAATGTAAAAACAAGTTCATTGTAAATGAACATGTTTCTTATCCCCAAATGTGTTTTAAACATCTGGACTAGATAGCAGGAAATACACAGTGAAAAATAGAAGCATCTCCATTATATCTGTGTCATCTCCAAAATAATTTATTTTACATTACATTTCCTGTTAATGGCAAGTTTGTAAGTGTATTTAAAACGTTTTCACTGCAAAAAAAAAAATCAAGTTAGGAGCAAAGTTTCATTTGAAAAATGTATTGCTTTCCATGCAGATTGTATGATCACCTGTGACTAAATTTAAACATGGATCGCAGAAGAAAATCAAACAAAATGATGCCTCCAAAAAGTGCCAAACAAAACCGCAAATAAAAACTAAAAACAAGAAATAGAACATTGTCCATAAGTTCTGACAGAGCTCTTTTCTCTTAAAATAACTCCCTGAAGGAGAAGAATGAGCAAGACGCTCTGTCGCCTCAGAGTTCATGGAGAGACCCATAGGAACCGCCTGGGAGAAGGGAGGGGAAAGCATTTGGGTCCCAGTCGGGCATAAAAGGGGAGAAGGAGCTGCCGTGTGGTGCGTAGCCAGAGGAAACGTGCGGTTGTTTATGGTTCTCCCTTTCATAGCTAGAGCACTGTATTAATCAGAGTTCCAGCAGGAAACAGATGGCACTTTCAAACTGGAATATTTCTACAGGGTTTAAGAACGGGGCTTTCAACAAAGCTGGGAGAAAAGTGGAGAGAAATGCCAGGGATAGTGCAGCTCCCTGGTGCCAGTAATCATGGAGCTGTTATCACCCAGGTCCAAAGGACCCAGACAAAAGCACATTCGCAGAGTCATACAGTGAGGGCCCTCTGAGGGGAACCTACAAGTCAGGACCCTGGGGGCACAAAGACCCTAACTTCTCTTTCCTGTCTTTTTCTGGCCTCGTGCTGTGGATCCCAGTGTCCACACGGGAAGCTGGAGGACCAGGGGGCCCGTTGATCCAGTTTCTACAGATCAGCCTCCTGCTTGGGGAGAGAACAGGTGGAGAAGGGTGGGAACGCATTTGGAGAGGCAAATGGAAGGAAGGTGCCCCGTTTGCTGGTTTAGAAGCTGCTCGTATGGAACCTACAGTTCAGTGGGAAGACCTGGCCAAAAACAAAGACAACAAAATTAAATATGAACACCGGAGAGAGAAGCATAACTGTCAATTACAGGACTCTGGTCCAATGCTTTTAATGAAAGATTTTCCCCCATCTCAGACTACACACTGGGTCCCCGCGTTGGTACCCCCTCTCTTTGGAACCACACCAAGTATTTCTGGGACCAGCTGAGGAGTTTAGTAGAATTCTACTTTTTTTTTTTTTTTTTTGAAAAGCTACTATGTGCCAGACATTTCGTTAAAAGTGTTACCAGACTGAAGGAGTCCATTCACCTGCATGCATCAAAGCCGAGTCAAATGTGAACAGGAGATTGCAACAAATTAGAGGTTCATTAGTTGTGGAAATGGTGCCAAACCCACAGTCACAGATGAGCTGATGCATGAAGACCTGGCTCCCCAGTGGCTTCCAGGGGGTGGGTTATATAGGGGGAAAGTCATTAATCATGGTGGCTAAAGGAGTTGGGGTCGTGGACTTGACTGGTTGGTTGGGACCAGAGTAGGGATCATTGTGTCAGGTCGTGATGTTAGTCATGCCATTGCGCTGGTTCGTGGGCGTGTGGTCAGTAGGGTCTTCCGTGGGCCTGGAGCTGGAACACAGCTGAACTCAGGGTTATCTTTAGCTTGACCAACTGTTTCTGTGGTCAACAGATCTGAGGCTGTGTTCTTAACACAGTTTGATACCAACCAGAATCTGATGCCCTAAGGGCTTAATGATTAAGGAAGGGAATGGACAGAAAGGAGAAAGGGTCATGTTAAAGAAAGTTTCTGTGTGGTTACAGGTGGTTACAAAAGTTGATCATTTAAAGATGGAAAAACAAAGAGTCAATTCCAGCCCTCGGGGGCCTGATAGGATGAGAGGGGGAAAAAGGCGTCTTTAAATAATGTTTGGAAGGACCCATCAGTGGAGACCAGAGCAGACAGGCGAGGAGGAGATGGAGGACTGGGACCCTTTTCTCCTCTTAAGTACTTCCCAAGTTTTAAATCCTTCTTCCTCTAACACAGTGGATTCATCTTGCTATCATTCCATTATATTCCCATTTTACATAGGAGAAAATTGAGGCACAGGAAGTTTAAATCACATGCCCAAGGTCACACAGGGAGCAAGAAATGAAGGTGGGATCTGAGCTAGGTAGGGTTGCTCTAAGTCTGGCTCCTCTCCCCTCTAACCATTCCAGGGCCCTCCGGAAGGTAACAAAGAAAAAGAGGAAGAGTGACAGGAAGAAGTATTTTTAGTGATATAATAGCTGTCATTTAATGAGGGACTTCTGTGTCCCTTCATTGTGTTAACTACTTTTACTTTTTTTTTTAGACCTTCCAATACTAAATAATCAATGTGCATTTAATCTTCTCAGACCACCTATACTATAAAGAGGTTAAAATCATGGAGAAATGATTCAGATCTCACACCAGATCTCTCTGAGCACGTTGCAGTGGATGCCTTACGTCCATCACATGTGATCATACAATGAGATTCATCGCTGTTGAAAATAGAAGAAACGTTAATAGTAAAATAGTAACACCAATATAAACACTTTTATTTCCTTATATATTTTTACTCTGTTCTGTTACCTAATATTTTAATTATCATGGTTCATATTAACATATTTTTATTTTGAACTAATTTATGGATATAAACATCCTAGTTAACTTAAACCCTCTTCTTTATACAAACATGGTAACATTCTAGTAACTAAATCAAAGTAGCCTGGCTATTTCTAGTTTGTTCATTTATTTTGCTCTGTAGATTCCACATATAAGTTGCAAGGGGTAAGATTTCACTTTTTTTAATGGTAAAGTAATATTCCATTGTATTTGTGTACCACAACTTTTTATCCACTTGTCTATTGATGGGTACTTAGGTTACTTTCATGTCTTGGCTATTAGCAGTAATGCTGCAATGAATATAGGGGTGTATATATTCCTTTGAATTAATGTTTTGGGTTTCTTTGGATATATACCCAGGAGAGGAATTGCTGGGGGTGGAGGGGACTGGGTGGAAAGGTGAAGGGATTAAGAACTACAAATTGGTATCACAAAAATAGTCATAGGGATATAAAGTACAGCATAGGGAATACAGTCAATAATATTGTAATAACTGTGTCTGGTGTCCATTGGGTACTTAAATATCTGGAGGACCATTGGTAAAGTGTATGATTTTCTAACTACTATGCTGTACACAGGAAACTAATACAAAATAATACTGAATGTAAATTGTAATTGAAAAATAAATTTTTAATAGGAAAAAAAAGAATCTGCTGGAAAACATGTATTTGCATCATTGTGATTCCGTTCTTAAAAATTGTTGCTTTCTACCAGAGCAGACAAACAACTAAAACTCCTGACACCTTGTACATCACTGGAGAGTTGGCTCTGACGTCGCTCTCGTTGTCCTTCATGATCTGTGCCACCCTGTCTGGGCCATGTGATTGGGCAGCTGTGACACATCGTTTTAGCCAACCCCCTCCCCTCCAAGAAAACAAAAAGTAGTCTGGCTAAACATAGCTTCGTGAAGCCTTATGACATTTATGATTACTGAGAGAGAAAGAGAAAGACCTGGTTTTCTATACATACTCAGTCTCCAGGATTTCCCTTCAGTACCCGGAGTATACAACGTTCTGATCTCGGGCAGTATGTAGAGCAGCTATGCACAGACCGTTAGTGCTCAGTAATATAAGTTCACAGTCTCTCCGTTTAAAATCACCAGCATATTTCTTGCAGAAGCCACAGTTCTTCCAACGGAAGACTGTTAAAAATAAAATAAATGAAAACAATAAGCCAAAACATCTCAGGACCTTAAGCACGGGGTGTGTAATCTACTCTCACATTGAAAATATATATATATTGCTTATAAACTGATTACATTATAACCCTCTTTCCGAGGTAGGAGGAACAATGCAGAATAACATGAGTTTTCCTCCCCTGAGCCTGCCTTATTTCCTGGCCCTGAAGCAACTCAGGTGCTTAGGAAAGCATGTTAAGACTTATCTACTCGGACACTGTTCCTCGCACGGTGAATGCAGTTTGTGTCTGTAGCAATAGTAACGCTTCTCTCTGTTAAGCAGTAAGCAAGACCCGTTGATCTTGCAGGCATTCTGAATCCTTGCACAGTTGGAGTTGTAGAACTCTCCAGGCACAGTTCCATCACACTTGGGCACCATTTACTGGGTTTGCATTTGGCTGCAGCTGTTATGCTAAGTGTGTGTGCATAATAGATCTCTATTTTCAGTTTTGAGGCATTACCTTCTCCTTCCCTGAGTTCTGCTTACATAGCATTTACTGAGTATTGTGGAAATAGTTACACCATGAGTATCCTTGGAGGAATTACTTAACCTCTCAATGCGCTCATTTTCATAACTCTAAAAGTTGTATCACAGTTCCTCCTTTTAGGGTCGTTGTGAGAAATACATTAACAAATGTCAATAATGTAATTATAATAGGTACCATTTAATTAACACCGAGGATTTTGCATGATTACTAAGTTATTTACATAACGTTACAGATTATGAAGAAGGCACTACTATCCCTGTTTTCCTGGTGCGGAAACTGAAGCTCAGAGAGGTTTAGAAACTTGCCCAAGGTCACACAGCTAGTGTGTGGTGAAGGCAGAACTCACAGCCTCCTCTGCCTGACTCTAAAGCTCCAAGCCACTTGCTGTGCTGCGGTCATTATAGAATCAGTTACTGAACTTGCTTCAAATGCAGCCTTCTGCAATCAATGAAAAGCCTGCCCCCACCCAAAATGTATAAATGAGAATTCTTATCAGGAAGGTTTTGGGATGCAGCAGTCTGTTTTATCCAACTGTGGAGGCATATTAGGCTCATCACACAGGGTTTCAGAAGCAATTCTCTGTGAGGACCAGCCGTCTTGTTTGACACACAAATAGTGTCTAAAAGATAGCACTCACTCTCTTCCACTGTGCGGTCAGTTGTTAACTCAGTGCGTTCATAGTCATCCAGGAGATCCTGGTGATACCGGGAGATTTAGTTCTATCGTATCTATTTGTAGGTGAGGCTCCTGTGCCTCTCTCTGCCTGGCACTGGTGAAGCTTTGCTAGTCCTTGGGGTTGACTGCCCCCCAAAACCAAGCTACACATTTGTGTCTGCAGCCACTGTCCTCGTGCCCCTTCAGTGACTGGAGACCTGTGGTTGGGGGTTACACACAGAAAAACTGGGATCCTGTTCACCTTCAGGGATGACTCTCGCAGTAGTTGTTCCATCAGGGAAGTGCCTCTCTCCACCGACTCCACAGTTAGACATTTCTTTCCATGTCTAAAGATGGGTAGGATTGATTTTAAAAATCTGGTAACTGTATAAGACCTTGGGTACCATATAATGTAATGCTCCTTCCTTCACACAGCACCCTCCCCGCAGTACTCTCATTTCACCTGTGATCTCCAGAAGCCTAGTCAAGCTACCAGAATTATTGGCAGAACTTGAATTTAGTCCACGTGTCTCCCTTTCCAGCCAACTTTCCAGCAGATTATGTCACTTTTTAAGGAAGTAGACTTTTTATGTGGTGGGGGGGTGTTTTGATCTCTGATACATGTTCCCTGTAATTCAATAACATTGGGTTATTTTTCCAAAGTTCTGCAATTTTTAGTTAAAAAACACTGGTGTTGGCAGAGGACCTAAATAGACACTTCTCCAAACAGGACACACAAATGATCAAGAGACATATGAAAAAATGCTGAAGGTCACTATTTATCAGAGAGATGCAAATTAACATGACTATGAAGTATCACCTCACACCTGTCAGAATGGCCGCCATCAACAAATCATCAAACAACAAGTGTTGGCGAGGGTGTGGAGAAAAGGGGACTCTAGTACACCGCTGGTGGGAATGCAGACTGGGGCAGCCACTGTGGAAAACACTGGGGTGTTTCCTTAAAAAATTAAAAATTGAACTGCCATTTGACCCAGTGATTCCACTTCTAGGAATATACCCTGAGAAGCCTGAAACACCAATCAGAAAGAGTATATGTACCCCCATGTTCATAGCAGCACTGTTTACAATAGCTAAGATCTGGAAACAGCCCAAGTGTCCATCAGTAGATGAGTGGATAAAAAAGCTATGGGACATATACACAAAAAAACACTAGGGTTGCCAAAACAAATTTGTAAATGAGTATCCTAAAAGTTGATCCTATATGTTGAAATATGATTTGTTGTATGATCTATAAGATCTTCTGGCAATGCACAATGTAATAATATATTTACAGAAATATAGACTAGAACAGTAAGGCCTTCCAGATTTATAATTTTTATAAATACCCCAGAATCAAATGAAAAAGATAATTAGGCATTGTTTTTACAAATTTATTTGTATCTTGTTAACTGATGCTGTCAACATGAGAGATACTGTTTTCTAACATTTACTTTTCTTTGAGACAGCCTATATGGTTTGGTTTCTTTTGAACCAGATAATACTTTCCAAGTTATCTTTAATTTTTTTTTACTTTATTTCTGATTATAATATATGTCCATGTATTTTCACATTATTCTGTTGAATGTTTTATGTAGAAGTTCACAGTAATCTGTTTTTTCTCATCAAAAATTTTATATGCAGATAATTCTGTCCTCTTTAATGCTCATAATATAGGGTATTCTGTTTAATAGTGTCTCATAATATAGGGTATTCTGTTTAATAGTGTCAACTATTTATGCCATTCAAACGATAGCATTTGGGGGGGTAAAAGAGGCTAAAGGGGGGATAAATGATGATGGAAGGAGACTTGACTTGGAGTGGTGAACACACAATACAATGTACAGATGACGTATTGTAGAATTGCACCCCTGAAACCTATATAATTTTATTACCCAGTATCAACTTAATAAAAAAATTTTAATTTAAAAACTGAGCTTAGCATCAGGCCTATGCTGAGAAGAATTTCACTCTGACTTTTTGGAGACTCACCAGATACCAACGAGGATTTGGAAGCATCTTGGTGTTAGAATCATGACATCACCGGGACCCAGCCTCTGTGGGGCAGCGGTCACTTAAAGGGATTGCCAGTAGAAATCTACAGAGAACAATTTTCCTGTATTTAGTTGGCTGAACAAAAAGGATATAGGATCACAGAGTACCATTTAATGTGCAACTGTTGTTTCCAAATAAAATTTTTATTGCCATCTGTAAAAAAATTTTTACTCTCTAAAATGATTGGATACATTAATCATTTTTGTGTACTGTTGTGTTATATCTAACATCAGCTTTACGGACTCCTCTGTCCTCAGCACTTTTGTTAACAGTAAACAGCAGTGATAATGAAATCCCCAAGATAACCTAGTGCTGAAGCATCCTCCAAATTACATGTCCTCTTTGGGTCGGGTTTTCCCCAATGTCTGAGTTGGAAAAGCACAATTAATTTTTTCTTGCCATGTCACATGACTGTGAACTGGCCCTTACACCCCGGCACGGGAAAGTACCCTCAGAAGATAGTAGGTATTAGTTAGATTGAAGTGAGCACGTGCAGAGACCGCTGCATGTGGTAGACAGGGAAAGGACTTCGAGTCGGTGTTTTGGGCCGTAGAAAGAACACGGGCCCTGGAGTGTGCAGCCCAGGATTAAATCATGAACTGACTGGTAAAACGTGTGTGCAGTTCAGCAAGTTCCTTAGCGACTTGGAGTTTCCTGATGTGTGAAATAGAGATGGTGATGCTACGCACGTGATGACTGTCAGGTTTCGGAGCGTGTCCGCGTCCCTGGAGCGTGACGGAGGAGGTCTCCATGAACCTCAGCTGAGGATCAGTCTCGACTGCCTGCATTCTCACAAAGCTTAACTTCATGACACTGCAAGGAGAAAGAAAGTATAGAGGAGAGAGAGTGCTTTCTGGTGTGAAATGTTGCGTGTGGGTCCTGCATGTCGACAGGAATAAAGCCAGTGCGAGGAAGTTAACCTCAGATGTTCACCCCCCGCCCCCGCCTCCCGTTCCAGGGTCACTGTAGCCAGCACCACGGAACCCGAGGTGAACATGAACGCAGCCCCAGGGAGATGCCGTTGTTAAAGTTATTACAATACCAGGCTATCAAATTGAACATGTTATTTATAGTGTTCCTAATTGTCAGCCTAATTTATGTATTAATTTTTCAAGAGCGCCTGGGCAGAAATGTAATCAGCCACTGACCCTCTCTGGGGAGGCCAGTGGTCGTTTTCTGGCGTAGAGTTCAGGTGTCACAATCTCTCTGCCTCCTCAGGCCCAGCCCTGTGCTCAGCAGCAGGGTTTGTGGGGAAGTAGAAGTGGCCGTGAGCTGCCCGTTTTCCTGTGTTACTCAGTGCTGAACAGTGGAACTGAACCCGTGGCTGGTGTTCACAGGATTAACTGAACCCTGCTGTTAGGAACAGAAACAGGCATGATCACATTGGGTGAATCACATTTGTCAGTTACTTAAATAAAAC